GACACACATACATAATGTAGCACGCGCTTTTAGAAGCGCATAAAGACATATATGAATATTGCGTCATATTCCAACAAAATTACATACATACAGGTATTAATTTTATTGATTTCGTTTTAGGTGGGTTAATAAATTACAAGTTTGATAACCTCTTTTTTGAAATCGGTTGTGATGTACCATACACAGGTAAACTAACGGACTCCTTTTTTTAAGTTGATTAAAAAGAAGGACACCAATTTTTCTCTCATGAAGGCTCGTTCATAGATATGAATCTTCTCGCACCACCCATATATATGAGATCGTCGGCATATCGGAGATTTGATAATATGCAATAGGGTGGAGTGAAGATTTGCTTTTTCATAATTTTTGGTTTCCTGCCTTTTCAAACAGTGATCCGTGGTAATGAAAATGTTCATGCAACCTTGTTTGGAGTATTCAGGCACCGATCAGTGATTTGTCTGACGTTTGCGAGATATCCGTGGACGATCATACAGACATACATACATCTATAAAATTTTGCACGCGTGTTCAGATGCCCATATAGGCCAATATGTATGAATATTACGCCATTCCGACGAAATTACATACTTACCTCTAATTGATAACCTCCTTTTTGGAGTCGGCTAAAAAGAATCCAACTGTGTTTATTATCAGTTTCGTAATCGAACCCGAACGTTTTGAAAAATTTAACCTGCATTATTTCTACTTAATAAATGATGTCTTAAATGAAAGAAGGAGCAACAGAGACAAATATTTAAAGTCTAAAATTATTCATCGTTCTCATGTAGTCAAACAAAGCCTTAACACATTATTCCATATTCCAAATAAAGTACACAGTAGTGTGTCACGAAACTATACATTTAATTTGAAATTTATTGACGTGAACATTTCTTATTTTTTATTCAGTCGATTCTAAACTTGTATTTATAATAAATTTATAATAACGAGTAGCTCGGTGGCGTAGTGGATTAGCGCCGTGGCCCGCGATCGTAGTCGTTAAGCAACTATCGCAAGGGTTGGTCACGGGATGGGTGACCAAAAAATTATTATCTCGAGCTACTCCGGTGCTTCGGAAGGCACGTTAAGCCGTTGGTCCCGGCTGCATTTGCAGTCGTTAATACCCTCCAATCCGCATTGGGCCAACATGGAGGATCATGGCCCATCCTCCTTAACCATTTATAAGAAAGGCCTGAGCCCCTGCAGTGGTGACGTAAAAAGGGCTGATGATGATGATGATGATTTATAATAACACTTTTAAAAAACATATAAATATGTATACGGTAAATATTTATAATTTAATTATAAAATAAAATAGTGTTAAAACACGTTAAGAATTAAAAGTCAAAAGATCAAAAATAATTAGGCAAAAAGGATTAATAACATATATGATTACTGAAAATAAAAGAATAAATTTGGGCACATCAAAAGATACCAATAATGATAAAAAAATGTTATCTAAGATCTTTAATTGTTATCATACTAACTACAATGTCTATGAAAAATTAAATTCATCCGTGTACAACAACAGTCATTATAGTTTGTGAACAAGCATTATGCTTTTAAGTACTCTTCCTATGAACAATATCTAAAATAACCATATTGCCGAGTTCTCGTGCAAATTGATAGTAATAAATTGCCAACTTTCGTCACAAAATTCCGAGGGTAGCTTTGTTAATTACAGACTACATTAAACAGATGTCCAAAATAAATTGCTCAATTTTAGTTAGTCGCAACCGGATTAAGACGTACGGAAGAGTAATCTGGGTTTTATCCGATCCGCCAGGAAATCAAGCGGAACCTTAAAATATTGCAGATGGAAAAATTATTCTCATGTTTCGTTAAGGCTGGATTGCATCATAAAAACAATTTAAATTATACTTTATGTCAAATTTGACAATAACTGTCAAGCTGATATTAACATTAATCGTGGAATGCATTGCACCATCCTCTTTCTTTGGATAGTAAAACAATAACTTTAATCAGTGAAGTTTGGGCTATGACCGTTATGACTTCTTTTGTCAAATGATGCAACTCATTGTTTGCTTAACGGGGACTTTAACATGTATGTTATTGTTAAACTAAGTTGGTGCAGTCAACCCTCACCATTGAAAAAATATAATCTTTAGCTTTCGTTTAGCTGGTTTTATTCTAATACTAATCTTAAAATCTGGGCCTACATTTCAAAAATAAAATCACAAGAGAATATTTTTAGTAGTAGATCTCTTCCAATGTATGTTTGTCATTCCTTTTTATTGATTTTTCTAGCAGTTCATTCCATTCAAATCGTAATACACCTGTTTCTCTATATCTATCTTCACACCAGATATATCCTGGGATAGGCAGGAATAACTAAGCGCCATCCTTATTTACGTCTTAATATTCTAAATTCTTTTAAATCTTTTTTATTTTAATTATACGCAATCTATTCGATTGTTCCCCGGCCTCTACATCCTACTTTCTGGTTAACTTTTAATAAAATAATACCAAGAACCCAACATATAACAATAATAATAATCTTGCTATTCTAAGGAAGTCGTCAAATTCGGCTGAAAAATGTGCTTAAAAACGTAATGCTGACAAAATTTGTCATCATTTGATTAACTCGAGAAACAAATCTTTGTTTTATTTTTTATCGTCTCCTTCGTAAACAGTATAACTAATGCAATAAGTCTTTATTCAATTTTTTTTCTAAACGAGGGATTATGTCTTTCTAGCAAAACGACATAGGTTTTTCGAGAAATTGAAGAGAATGATTTTTTGTTATAAAATTAATATATTACATCTTAAACTAATAATAATACTATCTGTATGTAATTACTTTAATTAGAAATTAGCACGCGTGTATAACAATAAAATGTTATGTTAGTATTGTTATCTTTATACAATTTTGAATTGTGTCATTATTCTAACATTCAACCATCCTACACTTTAGCTTTACACCCTCGGCTTCGCCATGTCCTTCTTCTTCGAATAATTTCGCTTTCGTGAATTACTTGATTTTTTAATCTCTCTCAATTTCGCAATCCTTTTAAGCGAACCTCTTTATCATACCAACCATTATGTTATTACTATGTATCTAAACCTATTTCGATTCGTTCGATAGTTTGAGCCTTAATAGATCATTCAGTCAATCACTATTGTCTTTAAATGTTGTGTGTATAGATATTGCTATCACTAAAGCTAATCAGTAAACCATTAAGAGCACACCTGTCTCTCGCAAACGAGCATGCATATAAAGGCTTCCTGATTTCACCTCAAGGCATACATATACGTATGTGACGGGCGGGCTCACGGGAACCCATTGTTGTTTGATTCATGCAATGGAACGTGACAACGTCAGACATTTCCTAGTTTTCACGTACACAACATCGGCAATTATACTCTAGTCAATACAGGAAGCAGATTCTAAGATATATTTTTTCTATATTAATATTATAATATTATATTCTTAACAACAGTTCTATTCGATTAATAGAACTGTTGTTAAGAATATAAAAGCAACGTTAACACTGATGTAAGTACCCAATGGTAATAAATACCTGAGAACATAAAACAATCAAATCAAAATTTATTACGGATATATAACTATTAACTATTAAATAAATATATTTTGAAATTCGATTTTCGTTATAACCTTAATGTTCTTATTTAAAGTTGAAACAGTTTCAAAGTCTAGTAATGTTACAGGAAACTCGTGATTTATAAGAAAATAATAAAATAACAAAAGAGAAAAGTGAAAGTTTCACAATAGCTTAGGAAAACACATTGTCAGGCCCATTTGCGAAGTTTTGTTCGCAGTACGCAAGAACAACAAAATTATGGAATATATAAAACGCGTTTTCTACGAGATTGAATATGAACTTTATAACAAACGAAACTATTATTATCATAGCTACAATCCAAGTTAAATCAATGATATTTTATGTGCTTTGCTTATGAGCGATTAGAGCATTATTATAGTAACCAATATTTTTGATTTATGATACTTTAATAACAACTAACAGATTTTAAGTCACAGATTACATTATAAGTGACGTTGTAAACATTAATATTATTTATACGATTATGTAAAACAGCTATACTTTTGTTTTATTTCCATAGTTTTTGAAATATTTGGTATATTCAATATTTACGTCGGTTTAGTATCTTTAATGATAGAAAGTATAATTTTAATATAACCTCTAAGGTAATATATATAACTTAAAGACATGGTTTATGGACGGAGAAAGTGTTCCTTATGGTGAAAGTTAGTAAAGCTATTGGCTAGCTATTATTAACTAAGCACCATTTAGAGGAAAACGAGCGCCATTTTCCGGACTTGCAGATTAACTTTCGCATTCGCGGACAAGATATAATTCCGTAATAATTAATATAATATAATAATTAATAAGATGGCGGAACAGATTAACATTTAATGAACCGATAGATATCAACCTCGTGTAACTTAAATTTTGTGTACAGAAAGAACCACCATGTACCTCTCGCAAGCGTGCACATAATCCTGAAATATTAAAAAAAAATTGAAGCCTCAGAAAATGATACATACGACAGCGCATTGAGTAAAATAATACGCCAAGAATTATTAACTCAAAGATTATTTACTATAATGTAAAATAATATAATGTAAAATTCGCTACAAAATGTTTCACGATTTCATCATTTTTATAACAAAAAATAATATGATGTGAAAATAAACTGAATATTAATATGTTGTTTTAAACTTTCGTAGTAAATTAACATTAGAATGATTGTCAAATATAACATGGTAGCAATCCCATTTTTACAATCATTCTAATTGAATACCATTTAATTTTCTCCTGGATGATTTTTTAAATACTTGTTTTAGCTTTGTGTGGTTCATTTTGTCTTCTAAGTAAGGGAGTGTTGTTGCTCTGGTCTAATTCATCTGTTTTTAAGTTCTATTTTATTGTCAACAGTTTCTGGCGCTTTTAGAGCGCAATGTAGTGGCGAACACGAGCTTGCAGTATAGACAGCTGACTATGTTTGCGCCGACCAATGAAGCCTTCCAAAGATACAACGGGATGATGGATGACTCCCTTGTTCTCTATCACATATGTAAGTGTATTAATTAGTATCATCAGATATTTTAAAGCCTCTTTGAGTGTTATTTAACTTCTAAGTGGCCGATGGTCATCATTTCATTAATGTCCCTACTGTTGGGGAAAGGTCTTTCCAGTTTTAACGACTGCATATGCAGCCGGGACCAAAAGTTTAACATGTCTGCCGATGTACGTAGAAGTAACTCGGTGGCGTAGTGTATAAGCGTCGCGGCCCGCGATCGTTGTTGTTGAGCAACTTTCGGAAGGGTTGGTCACGGAATGGGTGACAAAAAAATATATTATCTCGAGCTACTTCGTGCTTCGGGAGGCACGTTAAGCCATTGGTCCTGGCTGCATTTGCAGTCGTTAATACCTTCCATTCCGCATTGGGCCAGCGTGGAGGGTCATAGCCCATCCTCCTTAACCATCCATAAGGAAGGCTTGAGCCCCTGCAGTGGGGACGTAAAAGGGCTGGTATCCTATGACCGGTCCTTGCGATATCAGCTAAATTTCTCTATCGCAGAACGAAATCGCTTATAGCGACAGAGACCTGCCTTAGTATAATATCTATATACTTCGCTTTTAAGTTTAAGTACACTGCGTCAATAATATATGGATTTGTGATTTGAACTTAACGATTTCTTTTCAGCTAATCTTGCAACAACTCTAACGAATTTAGACTACGCAGTATCGTCTGAGTTCGATGGTAACCCTCCACTATGGGTGACTAGAAGACGAGACGCAATGCATGATGACATTTATGTTAACAATGCTAAAGTCTACGTATCCAGATCATATCAAGCTATGAACAGGAATGGGAAGAGACAGGTATGTTACCAATAATTAACATAAGTATCAAACAAACCAAAACAAAATTATTCATTCAATTTAAACTGTTACAAGCTCTTGTAAAAGTTGAAACCCTATGCCATCGCTTAGTAAATCTGCGGCGGGAGACCTTACCGAGAAGAACCAGCAAGAAACTAAGCAAATTTTTTTTTCCCCTTCCTGTTTTATTTCATATTAAAATGTCATTTGAAAAAATGAGTTCTTGGGTATGAAGTCACTTTCCATCACAATATTAGAAAACACAAATAATAATAATAAGATATGACGCGTCGAACTAAATGTCATTCATGTGTTCAAACAAAAATGCAATATTAACCAGTCATTTAAGTAATTAATTCCTCGACGCCATAATCTTCGGACTATTATTGCCTCCGCTACTGAGACACAGGCTTTTCCTAACGATATAATCAAACAGGTAAAAACAGTGTGAAATGGTAGGTACTTAAAACCGCAGATGTAGAAACTTACGATTAGAAGTACCTACCGAAGCGCAGCAAGTCGATTCGCTAATGTTAACGTAATAATAGCATCTTAACTAATTGCACTTTGCTATTGGACAATCTATCTGAATTCCGATATTATTATTTATCTGTCACCATTGATGTCTAGACACTAACGATATTTTTAAACTCACGCGATTTGTATGCATAACAATATATGTAATCGGGTCTTGTTCGTGTATTATTTTAAAGCTATTAATTTACCTCGACTGGTCACGAGGAGACTGGAGAACTGGCGGGTGTCGTCTTCTGATTTTAGTTGAGGCGTGAGGGTAATCCGGTAATAATGTTTTTAACAGTTTTTTTTAGGGTACATCTGAAAATCTGTTAAAAACATTATTACCGGATTCTCCTCACGACCACGGCTGTTGTAACGTAGCCGAAACGTCGATGTAAATTAATAGTTTTAAAATAATGCACGAACAAGACCCGATTACATATAATTATAATTGCACTAATGATATTGAAAGCTTTAGGTAGTAAAATGCAAATTGTTGAGATTCTATTGAGATGCGAATATTACGTTGGCCTGGCCTGCTGGACTCCAGATATATAACTCGTTTGGCATGACATTAGCATGATATCTGAGGGGCTCGATTTGTTGTCGATTGAAAGTTCGGAAGTCATGTTAAGTCGTACATATAGTAGATTTGGCTATCAATTCGATAGCCGTTCTTTACTAAAATTCTTTAATCTCCATAATTGTAGGCCAAACGAATTAGTTGCTGTCCCATAGAGCTTCTAATTAATTTTTCACTTAGTTTACATCTAATTAATCAACAGTTATAAAAAAAAGATAATGAAAATGTGTCAGTTATTCTTTATTAAAGCCTTATAAAGGTCAGTAAAATAAATATTCCACGTCTTCACGAAAATTCCAGAAAATGATATCAGTTCGTACGTAACCTGTACAAGACTTATCTAAAAGTCTCGCGCCAATTTCATTAAAGTTAATATTTTCCAATTCTCGTACTTTATGATAAACTCGGGTATATCCTGCGTTCTGCAAAACGATCTGTTGATAGATAATGTTAATTGCATATCTGACGTAAGATGCGTCTAAGTCGGTACATACTACGTCTTCGACGGAAGACACGTCGCATAATGAGGATGATGCCTGGGCAAAAAAAAGAAATTCTATTTAGGCCGTCGGTTTATATAATAGAAAAAATATTGGATATGTATTTTTTTTTTGTTTCAATTCAACAAGAAATGGCTTAGAATATGCATTAAAGTTGAAAATGTAGAAAGGTGTGACGTATCGCCGTGATTTATTGATTCCGCAAAAATTACGTGTTTAATATTCTTTAATAATATAACTGACGGACAGTCGAACAAAACTTAGTCATCATCCTTATTGTCGGTCGTGGAACGACAGAACTCACAAATATTTGAAATGACATTCCCCCTTTGTACATTCGACGAATGATCCAACTATAATTCATCAAGTTTGTGTTTTGTTTACTATGAATTTAATGTGATGTCATGCAAAAACTCATTTTTGTTGTTCCCAGGTTCTCCATGTTATTGATCAAGTGCTACAACCACTACAGCCGCATGGTTCAAGCTCCTCGAGTAATTCAGTATATAATCCAAACGCGTTTCAATTTTTAGATAATTCTGATGAGTTCAACATAGGTCAGCATAGACTAAGGTTGGTAGTTTGAGCTTATCGACGATCCTACCAAAATAATGATTTTATGCATTTATTTTACCTTAATTACTAACTATAGTATATTAATATACTTTTCTTTAAAAAAATATAACTTTTTGAGTATCAATTAGCACGACACAAATACGATTTCGTTTGTTAAAATTTAAGTGAACTCTCAGAGTAATGTCCATATTATCATATATGTGTGTGGTTTTCTAAATAGTTTAATCATTGTTTGTAATCTGATTAATGTATTAATACAATAAGCCAGGACTAAAATTATCTATTAACACTGTAATTTTAGGCAAACAAAAGATGATACAAATATAATAAACATTTTTTAGATTATGGGGCTATATAGGTTACAAATAACCCTCGATATTCAAATTGCTAACTCTATAAACAGAGTCGATACAAAAGTTAACTACAATGAACCAACCGTAACTGAAATTGAGTGTCGAACTAACTTCAAACTTCATTTCTACTGAGATAATTAAAATATTAGTTCAAAAACAATGTGAAAAAGGAAAGTTAGACGTGCAGGAGTGCAAGAGAAACACGTCATGACTTTAATAACATCATAAACTAATAATATTCCTACCTTATGAAGCCCTTTTGATAATAAAGATACAGAGTAAAATCATCTTAATAGAAATATTAATAATTTATTTATTTTACTGTCACCAGCCCTTTTACGTCCCCACTGCAGGGGCTCAGGCCTTCCTTATGGATGGTTAAGGAGGATGGGCCATGACCCTCCACGCTGGCCCAATGCGGATTGGAGGGTATTAACGACTGCAAATACAGCCGGGACCAACGGCTTAACGTGCCTTCCGAAGCACGGAGTAGCTCGAGATAATAATTTTTGGTCACCCATCCCGTGACCGACCCTTGCGAAAGTTGCTTAACGACTACGATCGCGGGCCGCGGCGCTTATCCACTACGCCACCGAGCTACAATTTATTTTACTATTTATTTTACTAAAGACGCTTATATCTTAGGTGATAATAAGTCCCGTATTCAATTAATTACAATAATTGAATCTCTTGATGTCTATAATTAATTAAAATGTGGTTCAATATCCAGTATTTATTTATTGAAATTTAATTTTGTCCATAGATCGTTCCGACAAAAAGTAACACATCAACTTCAAAAGAAAGAAGTATTCAATGCCGATGGGCGGCATACATTTTTTATTCCAGTCGATGAAGGATTCAAGGTTAATATGTTACTCTATTCACAATCAATACGTGTAAACCAATTTTTTAGATCAAACATGTTATTATATTTTTGTCCATTGATTTTCTTATTGGAGGTTTTGTTAATATTCGTGTAATAATGTTATTATGGCTTTGTTCCGAAGCATTAAAGTATTAGAGGAAAATAACCGAATATTTGGACTAATGAACTTCCTCCTTAAATTATTCCTAAAACCAACAATTTGTAAATTGTCAATAACTACGAGAAATTTACATTCGGTTTGCGGATTCGCTTGGCTTATTTCATAGTATAACAACATTTCTTTACAGAATAATTAAAAAGTAATTTCAGTTTTTCAATTTAGGAATATTATTCTATATTTATGTATATACTTAACGAAATAACAAATAGTGATTTCTATATTAAAGCATTTTATTAATAGTTAATTTAATCTATTTTATTTCTAATTTTATTTATTATATTGACTAAACATGTTTTATTACTTCACAATAAATTCTTTACAGCCAACATCTAGGTCTGATTTGATAGACGAGAAAGTTGTCGATGGTCACGTAATTCCTCATCATGTATTGTTCACGAAAGCTACTCCTGATAATAAGGAATTTGAGACTTTAGCTTTCGGTGACAACGTCAAAGTCATCATTTCGTTCAGCACCTCTATGAATGGAAACGAAGAGATCAGTGAGTGCTCATATTTCATTATAGTATACTACACATCTGTAGCTCTAGTTGTGGAACCTGCTAATAGGGAATGCCATATTAAATACTTAAAATAAAAAATAATTAAATTAAATTTTATTACATCATTCATTAATTGATTCTGCCTGAGGCTTCGTGCATTGACATTTTGATTTATTTATTCTGAATAAATTTCATACGATATAATTAGATATGTAAGATATAATTTAATAGTCTACAGGCTAATCTTAAAGTACAATTAAAAATTGATTTATAAAGTTACTTATTTTGTAATTTTTTGGATAATTTAAAAAAGTTTATTTTTTATAATAGCATACGTGAAATCAAACACCGTCGTTGGAGATAATAAGCATAGCAGAGGAGTAGTGATAGCTGACATAGTTAAGGCCAATATACCAGTCAAAAATGGGGTGGTTCACCTGATACAGCGCCCTCTTATGGTGGTCGACACTTCTGTCATCGACTTTCTGAAGGTAAACTTTTACGAAAATAATTTTCTCTTACTTTGAAACCTATGAACCTTTAAACCTATACTATGGTTATAATCAATACATATATAATTGTTTTTAATGTGATCTTGAGAGTACTAAAATCATCTATATAGTAAAATTAATTTATAAGTGTTTTAAGTTTTATTCTATACTTAAACTTACAACACATGATAAAATCAAACGATTTGTATTCTACAAAAAAAATTGATGACAAGCATCGTCCATCAATTTTCTCGAGAACATGAGTAATATTTACTCAAACGCGTTTACATTACTTTATGTTATACTGCTAGATTATAAACATAAATAAAACATACGATTTTAATGTGTTAGTCAAATTAAGAAACCAATTTCCGATAGAAATATTTAATAATTACAAAGGAATGATAAATATTTGAAACCTCTCATTGACTTTTCGCTCCATTAACGTGGAAACCAGGCAATGAAGGTAAAATAAAGGCTCTTTAATTTTATTCCTTTTTCCTATTGATATCTTTTTTGTCGTGTTACTTCGTTTATACCTTTCTTTATAAGTGTATTTCTGAAGTCTATTTTTCAAAAAAAAAAAACAATTTGTAGCACGTTTTATGTTGTCTGTTATGCAATCCAAAAACTCTTCTGATTATAGGTTGTGGTAAGTCTTGCATTCTGATCTTGCGAGTTAATTAGTAAATTAATCTTCAAGTATGTTTAAATGTAACGATATCTAACAGTGCACTGACCGAAAGTGGATGTTGCAAACACAGTGCTTTTCCAGAAAATATCTTAAGTTGAAGTTCTAAATACTAACTTTTCTTTCTTAAGACTGGGTACAATGGATACTATCAATTTATCAATAAATAAATGAAAGTATATAAATAAATTGAGTAGTTAGTTCAACACAACGCACTAGACACAAACTTTTCTGAATGCAAAGATTTTTTTTCCCGTGATATTTCGATTGCCTCTTTCATATACATGTTCAGAGGACTACCCAATTTGGTATTCTGTGTGATGTTGGGAAGAATTTGTTATACAGTTTTATTTGTTTGTGCCCTCTGCCCGATGTGGATCCTGCATGACATTTGGCAACCGTAGGGGATTGTAAGTATTGTTTCTTTTCGCATGTGTGTTCCGAACTGCATTATTAATCTCCGAACACTTTTTTGTTTCTAAATTGCCTTGTATAACCTTTTAGAATAGACACGTATGATGTAACCAGTATTGAAATGAGGTAAGCTTCATGTGTTTCGTGTTTACTAGTTCATTACAACAGTGTAAATAAAGGTGAAAAAGTTTTCTGTACTGCATCCTAGTTGGTATACTGTAAAAACAAGTTGAAAGAAATGAAGTAAAAGCTTTCCTTAAAGCTTTCAAGATAAGATATTGTTTGTAACTGATGGCTTGGTAATCAAAATTACTTTGTTTAGAATGTTCTGTTACTAAAAATTAACAAATATTTTTACATTAAGCCTTAAACAAAGTTGTCCACACAGACACTAACTTCAATTTAACTTAAATCAAACAGATTTTGATGCGCAACCTATTTATCAAAGTTAATATATTATATATTTTAGCAGTAATTCTAAACAATACTAAATGCTATGATACTTTACGAAGCAGTACTTTTCTCCTTCCAAAAAGACGAGAAGCCTTCCAAATAATTCGTCAGTGTTTTGGAGTAATCATGAATGCGGGGAAATTCCGGGAATGACATTAAACAAGCAATATGTTTGTTCTACTTAATTTAAAGTGTTTTCATCTATTAAAAGTTTTCGTAATGTCAACTTTATCAATAGTTAGCAAAAAAATACAATGCCGATTTTGGTGGTAATTCGTTATTTACGGAATTCCCTGCTTTCGGTATAACCCCAAAACACTTATTTAATTATAGGAAAAGGACGACGGCCCTCTGTGCAAGTTCTACGAAGTGATCATGGACCTCGGCTCGAACAACCAGTTCTTAAAAGAACTAAACATCGCTAAGGACATAACTTTGTTCGCCCCATCTAATGAAGCTTGGACGGAGATGAGCGTACAGAACATTATCAGGTAAAATTTTCCACTTTTTATTATTGGCATTCTCAATAACAATATTACTGAATATTATTACACAATAGGACAAATTTACTTTTTGATACTCTGTCCATATTCTTCGTAATTTCTTACTGTGTCTCATTTCTTTGTTGTGAACAAAGGAAATTTTGACATTAAATACTTAGTTTAAATGGCAATAAAAATAAATTCTATTAGATACATAAAGTTGTTTGATATTGTTTTTTATTAAATATTTAAATGGATAGCTATAAAGAAGAAAGTTCTTGAGATTTCTTTAATTTCCTTCTTTAAATAAACTTATTACGAGTACTTAAGGAAAAATCTATAGTAGGTGTGTAGATAAAATAAAAAACATAATATCTTTCAGAAACCATCAAAAGCTCAAGGAAATTTTGAACCTACATTTAGTAAGAGAGAGGCTACCAATGGACGCAATAATACAAAACAATATGAATCAGGTAAACTATTTGTCACTTCGAAATCAATATCTAAGGAAGCTTCAATTGTGTTGAACGTGTAACAAAACTTAAAAGTCCAATTCAAATTAATTTTCCCAAAAGCAATCCGTTTTAAATTAACATCTCGATTACTCTTACCCAACTCACCTACCCAATGATTGATTTTAATTAACAATGTTTTCTGAAATTAATGTGTATTCTGAATTTTATTCATGATCGCGTGCTGCCTCTCGGAATCAGCTACCCGGAACTGTACGTCAAACAAATTTTAAAACTAAGAATACTTATGAATTCATTATTCTGTTTGTTTAGAATATCCGATTGTTTGTTTGTTTTGATTCATCATTTTAATTCGAATCGTTCCAAAAACATTTTGCATGATAAAATATTTTAGTAAATTACGATTATTATTTAATTTTTTTTTCATTTACAAATGTAAATTGTAGAATTGTATTGTGATGTGCAATGATTAGAATAGATATAGCTATTTCATATCGATTCATATCGATGGATTCGAGGTGTTAACACTATCTACCTATAGAACTTAAATAAATGCTATTTTGTATATTTTATTGGTCTGATACATAATTAAAATTAGAAAATCAAATGTTTATAAATTTATGGTAACAATCTCCGTCTATTTTATTTCAAATACATATCCACAAAGCGAAAACATGTACAAATGGCTCTAACTATTCTAAACGTTGATTTATTAGGTATGTGTAATTTTATCATGGTTTTAGTTGACATTAAGTCAATTTAACGCATGATCATGCTCCCTGTATATGTATAAGGTAAAAAGCATTTTTGTTTTCTATCCCATATTTTGTTTGTGAATTCAAATATAAGTAAAAATGTTTGTATGGAAGAAAGTATGTCTTTCGCTTACCACAAGAGATGGTGCATGTTTCTTTCAGAATGCGGAAATTTATATAACCATGATTGTAATTGTACCTGATGTGTTTCAGATATTTTTCAAAATTCTATATATTTCTCTTTAATCTGTGTCCTTTCACTTAATCTTATTATATTGCTTATAATATTTTGTGCTTATGGTAACAAAATGTTAATTTTGTTTTCGTAGATATATCAAGCTCCAACGGCTTTACCAAGGAAATATCTATATTTTAACGTTCTTACACACGGGAACAACAAAACTTTGACCGTTGAAGGTGGAGGCGTTAACGCTACAGTCATTCAGCCAAACATAGCTGCCACAAATGGCTTTGTTCATATAATAGATAGAGTACTAGGAGTGCCTTACACGACTGTCTACGAGAAATTGAAAACAGATCCTATGCTTAAGTAAGCCAAATGAATTTATACACTACTGTGTTAACATTATTAATTTTAATAATTTACTTATTTCATATTCATTTACAGTATTACTTATAACCTTGGAAGAAGGCAGGTATTCAATCATCAACTTAAAGATATGGAACACAGATACACGTATTTTGTGCCAAGAGATCACGCTTGGATTAAATTTCAAGCCAGACATCCGTCCGCATTTAAGGCTTTATTTAAAGAAGATTATGGTTATTTCGTAAGTCAAGTTATAATGTATCTCTTTGTGGAAATTTTGATCGGGTTGTTTGTTATGTTAACTTTCTTCTACTCACCGATATACAACGTGTCCCAAAATTCAACGATGAGCGCGCGCCAAGAGGTACCCTTGCTCATGTTTACTTATGGAAAAATAAGAAAAAATTATATCTTATCATTTTTATTATAAAATTAAATTCGAAAATCTTCGAAAATTTACACCTTTTATGATATTTTCAACTACCACGACCACAACTTCTCAATTATGTTCAATCTTTTTTTGGTATCGGATACCTAAGTAGCACTACTATTCGCTACAACTCTTTCGAAAATTTTCGAATTTTATTTTATAATAAAAAAGATTAATAAGATATAATTTTTTTCTTATTTTTCCACAAGTACACATGAACAGGTCTACCTCTTGGCGCCCGCTTATCGTTGAATTTTGGGACACGTTGTATATGTTTTATTACTTGATGTATTTTGCTATTTTTGTAACTAAACGTACGTTAAGCAAAAAATATGTTGCTTTATTTGGTTCCTTAAATTTATCTTTAAGCTAAGCGTTAATTATCGACTGTGTTCCAGACAAAACAGATTCTAGAGAGGCACGTGATCCGGGCCGGACGGGCGTACACAGTATCTGATTTGAAACTGCTCGCAAATGAAACGCATCCCTTCGTTCTGCCGACGTCACGCGACCCACTCAGGCTACGAGTTAAAGAATCTGATAAAAGTAAGCTCTTAACGGTCCATTTACGTCATTATCTCCATCCATGCGACGCCCACGGAGTTAAACTAAGTCGATTTATTTCAAATTGGTTTTGTGTCTGCCGCAGATTACTACGTGGAGTGGAACGGACGTTGGATCCATGTCTTCCGACCCGACGTCGAATGCACCAATGGTATAATTCACGTCATTGATGAACCTTTTGTCTTAGAAAGCGACATTAGAGCGACCGGCGCTGCTGAAAACACAAGAGTCGTTTCATCTTTTTTCTTACTTTTTCTCTCTTTTTGTTTCGCTAGAATGTTAGAGCATTAAAACTGTCAATAAGTGAATTGTTTACTTTGATTAATGGACTGTAATATTTACAGTTTAATAATTTATGATTTCAATCGGTGACTTAATAAAGTTTGTTTGGAAATTTCGATGTTCTTTCTGAAGTTGTAACTTATTTTGATATATTTTTCTGTAGGATGTGTGCAGTTACCATTTGAGATCAACCATAAGATTATTGTCAGTAATATTTGTACTACGTCCATAAAGAATATTAGATTCGAAAAATGCGTGATAGATTCTCGCTTTTACAAAGTTATAATAAGAAAATAATGACTTAAAACGATGTATGAGTAATAGCTCACTGCCAATAGTTAATATTTGGATTATAGGTAGGTCGACTTTGATCATTGCTGATGTATTTTAATTAAAAGACATTTTGGTGTTTATTAATAATCGTAAACTTAGCCCATTGAACCTCTTATTATAGAACTCGATATACCTACTTACCTATTACATGCCTATGTAAATAAAATCCAAAATCCAAATAAATCGACGCATAATTATTTGACCATTTTTTAGTTGTAATAAATACGCATTTAAAAGTTGAATTGTTGCAAATTGTATTTTCAATTTGGCCTGGTTGTGCCTTGATTTGAATACGGTTACATTATATTTAATCATTTATTTTAAATACTCTATATGATGTATTACTTAATCGAGTGAAAAAAATATAAAAAATATGTCGTAGAATATAATGATCATTATACATTCCACGTTTATATCTTAGAAAAATATTTACATGTGTCTAAATATATTTATTAAACGTTACTTATTGCTCTGAGATATAATTTCCATCTATGTAAAACATTGATTTATTTAAAATTCTCTATCAAATCTTTGAGCTCGACTGAATTATTCACATTATCGGTAAATGTTAAAGATTAATAAATATCGCGGGAGTTCTATATAATATTATCGGGTAATTGCACCAATCAATGGGGTTCAATAAAAACGATTATACCTCTAAGAGGGTTAATGATTTTGATATTTGGACTGCCACTGCGGTCAAACTATCAAGATTGGTTGTTTACTATAATATAAGTATGCTGTTCTACAATAAAATCAACTTTGAATTCGACGTCGACCGCTGTCTTAGCATAGAGTTACAACGATACTTTATTACCTTTGAAGTAGGTTTTATTTAATTCAACCTCTTTTCTGTGACAGCACTCTGGTTGAAGTTTAGTTCAACGCTGATTTTATTTTAGAATAGTACTGCTGGACTTGAACTGAAGAGGTTTCAATAAAAAAATCCGGTTCGTTAACGTGTCTCCCACATTGTTAATTGCGTAAATCAATTCTTCTTCAAATAAAAAAAAATATCTACTATTCTTTATATAATGTTGTCTTTAATTTATTTAATGATGATAGTTTGATCATGTAAGTTATACTGTTTTGGTGCAATTTACTCTAAAATGATAATTATATGTATTAAGAGTTGAAATTAATTGAGATAACATTTATAAAATTCTTGGATTGTGGGGTATATTGAATAGTATCTAATCGTATTAAATGTATATAGGTATGATTGTGCTTATTACCCTTGACTGTGCGTTTGTAATTACTTTTGTTAACAGTTTGTAAATATTTAACGGTAAATTTACAGTTAGTTGATTAAAAATTAATTATTTATAATAAAATCTAGTACCACAATGAAATAATTATAAACTATTGACGCAGTCTACACTACTTAAATTTCTTTTGAATGTTTCCCTGCTAAATGGGATGCTGCTTGACGGTTACAATTTAGAATTTTATACGATATTGTTAAAATTTTCTACTGAAGTGTTTTTAAAGTTTTTTTAGATAACAATTTTTACAGTAAATCGCAACGTTTGTAAAAAATGCCAGAGCAGCATTTCACTTTTGTAATGACACATACCTTTATATGGTTACTTAGGTAAGGTCGGATACTCGTGGTTTCGCTTTTTAGGGTGGAACACCTCGGTCTTATAAAAATTTGATTTGTGAAATGATAATATCTTTTTAAAATTAAATGTTGCACTCTAATTTTAACTTAATGTTATTTATGGATATTCGAATGCCGTAGCAAATAAAAAATTAAAAACATCGGTTATGTATTTAATTAGATTTATAATTTAATGATAAAGTCCGTAGTAACAAAAAAAAAGATATAATGAAAACCTTTAATTTGATACCCAACAATTTATTAATAAAGTCTTTATTAAAAAAGATAAACGACACTAATAAGGAAGCTTACCCGAGCTTTGCTAGACTCGTAGCTGATGGGCAACGGACGCTGTTTCATATAAAATGTATAGAAGACAATTTATCCCTATTCTATTCGACACGGTTCGGTGAGTTTTGTCACCGCAAAGTTTATGGTACGGATTAGAACACCAACATGAGTACTCGGCTTTACTAAAAAATCTTTGTCTGTATAATCTATCGCTTAAGTCAATATTCATAGATTAACAAGTATAGATATGGTTAATTATAGAATATCTGAGTGTTAAAAAGCCAAAGCTAACTACTATTAGCTGGTATCATAGTTTAAGATAATATTGCTATCACAATAAAAGTTTGGGATTGAGCCGTAGTCAGTTATATTAGGTGTTTTCGAAAAAAAAAAGAATGTAATTCGAGTAAGAATGAAATATTTAAAGATTAGTTATATAAAAAAAATTGGGATGTGAAAATTCCGAAGACAATATAATAATTTCGACCAAATATCAAACCAAATATTTGGTTAAGGAGCAAAGTCGGAATTCCATTTTCTAGTGATACGTATACATATATCTCAAATATGTCAAATTAGTTAAAAGATTGTGAAGAGCGATGTGTTTCATGAAAAGAATTTATGTATAAATATAGACATTCGAATTCTAACATTGTCAGTTATTTATAAATACTCTTATCCTTTTTACGCCGTACATTCCGTTTGATCATATTTTTAACAAAGCCGATTTTCAGATTGAAATGCAAACAAAACAATTTCCAACATTCAAAGGGAATAAAGTCTCATTCAACCGTGATAAAGCAAAAAAAAAAGTATTTTTTTTTTTACTTTGTAAAAATAAAATAAAGTTTGTCAGCGGCTTCCGAAATTTCAGAGCAAGGGAACAAAGGTTCAAGTCTGTCTCTTAATCCCTAAAGGTCGCCGATGAAAGAGAAGACTTTCCCGCACTAATCCCCTTGATGGATACCCTACATTGTAAGCCCATTAGCTTATGATCAGTCTAAATGTACATCGACTCGTGTTTTAAACGCCGAAAACATATTTTAATATGGAATTAATTATACATAAATCCAACGAGTTAATATTTAAGTTAAATAATTAATACCCATTTCATTTTAGAGACTTTTGAAGTCGATTTTATTCGATTGAACCGTTATACTGTGACAGCGCACAGTGGAAAATGGTAGAACAAGAGCATATCAAAAATACTTTTACGAATGTCATAATTTGTTTGATTTGGTGATTTTATTAGGATCTCGAATAATCGAATTATAATATTCATTAAGTTTTTTTATCGAAAATGCACGAAGTTACATTTTTTTCATAGGTAGAAGTACATAGAAGACGGGAGTGCCGAACTCGAGTCTACGCATATACATGTTTCAAAACCATATTGTGCAATATATATTGGGTACATATATGCAGTATTATACATTTTTGGAAAGGTTATTTCATGCTTATTACGTTACAGCTTTTTAATTTCTAAAGCAGCGACAATTATGTCAGTAAGTAATTAAAAAGTGGCATACCTTATTTTTTACTTTTCTTTTTTTTCATCTAAGGTTTTCAATATTACCCACGGCTCCCCACGCGCAACTTTTTATGTTGATTGATAGTCTAACTATTCAGTAACAGAATACAAAAAAAAACAGCTGCGGAAGTTTGCGGTTTTAGAAAATATAAGAAATAATGTGTGAAAAGTCGGAAAATAAAAATCAGTATCTTTGACGGTTTACCACAGACACCGTTCACAAGGACAATAATTATATTACTTTTGGAATATTTTATTTATTTAGCGATAACAAAGGAATCTTATCAAATTTGCACTCGTTATGCGTGAGAAATTACTAGATAATAATTATGTGGGTAGCAATTTGATATTGGAAACAATTTGATATGGCAATACAGCACGAAGTTTTTTTTTTTAAATTACACTTGCTCAGCGGAAATTACGGGTGTAGACGAAACATTCGATCAACATCGAAAATGCACGAAGTTACATTTTTTTCATAGGTAGAAGTACATAGAAGACGGTAGTGCCGAACTCGAGTCTATGCATATACATGTTTCAAAACCATATTGTGCAATATATATTGGGTACATATATGCAGTATTATACATTTTTGGAAAGGTTATTTCATGCTTATTACGTTACAGCTTTTTAATTTCTAAAGCAGCGACAATTATGTCAGTAAGTAATTAAAAAGTGGCATACCTAATTTTTTACTTTTCTTTTTTTTCGTCTAAGGTTTTCAATATTACCCACGGCTCCCCACGCGCAACTTGTTATGTTAATTGATAGTCTAACTATTCAGTAACAGAATACAAAAAAAAACAGCTGCGGAAGTTTGCGGTTTTAGAAAATATAAGAAATAATGTGTGAAAAGTCGGAAAATAAAAATCAGTATCTTTGGCGGTTTACCACAGACACCGTTCACAAGGACAATAATTATATTACTTTTGGAATATTTTATTTATTTAGCGATAACAAAGGAATCTTATCAAATTTGCACTCGTTATGCGTGAGAAATTACTAGATAATAAGATAATCCTATTGGACAGCTGTCGGAAGACGCACAAGAGTCTCGCAACAAAGACTACAGAAACATGCGACTTCATCATGCCAAAAAATGTTCCCGGTCTGCAACAAATGAAGATGTCTTTAAAATGCTTTTGTGAACGTCAGATCCATATATAACAAGTTTAAGAAAACCATACTTAAGAAATGTAAAAAATCTTGAAGTGGAGGCAATAAAGTCTTTTAAAAGTGGTACCTGAAAGTGAACGCACGTTTACTGACCCTGATCCTGAAGCAATATTGGTACCTACCAAAATAAAAATAATATTGATATTTAGTTATTAGTAATGTTTGTAACGAGTTATATCAATCTCTGAAGCTACAGGCCTAATATAGTTTGTTTGTTCAGCAAAAAAATTTTTTTTGTATTTTTTATTAATTGGGTAATTTTGTATTTAACCGTAGTTTTAGCCTTTTTAGTCATTAAAACTTGTCTTTCTTTTGGAATTATTTTTTTTACCATTTTATTTTTGTGTTTTCCCATTTTTTTTACTTCTATGACATATAACATATATATGTATATAGAAAAACACTACAAATTATACATCATTTGAATTTCCAAACCTCACTGAATATTTGTAGCAAATTTCATTGCGGTACTACAAAAAATCATGAAGTTATACATTTTTGATCCGATAACGACCGATTCTGCCCACCGTGCAGCGCTTTGGTTGAAGTTTAGTTGAGCTATGCTGAAATTAAATAGATAATAGCGGAGATATTCGCTAAATTAACTGGTATTTACACCTTTACCTTTTATTTTTTTTTATCATCTTACATAGAAGTGATTACCCACTCACTGTGTGATTTCTGGAGTGTGTGAGTGGACTGGAGTTAATTAAAAAGTAAGCAAAGCTAAAGTTATATTTTTAAGAATACGTAAAACAAACAAGATATACAGAGACAGGTAGCAAATAACAAAAAATGAAAAATTCAATTTGAAAATATAAAAAATACTTATCTAAAAAGGTTGGCCAAGCTTTTCTGCTGTGTGGCAAGATTTTTATTGACATGTGATATTAAAAACAATGTTCCTTTTTGCTAGATTTTATTCGTGTGTAACTTTGATTGTTCTAAATATCGTGTGGCATAAAAAGATTTTATGAACAATTAAATTAATGGTGATATTTGCATTTAAGACATGTACGATACAAATACTTAATCATAGTATAACTTCGAGTCGTTCACGGTTTTCATATAAAATTAATTTTGCTCTCTTGGATACGGAAGTGGGTAATTCATCATTTTCCTGAATAGAAAATATGACTTTCGATTGTTAATGGCCTGCATAATTTTTTTAAACAACAGCAACACAAAATACAATATTTATACTCCCAAGATTATAAATCCTTAATTTTTTCAACAGTAGTTCGGTGGACTAGTGTTGTTGCTAAGCGACTTTCGCAAGGTCGGTCACGGGACGAATGACCAAAAATTATTATCTCGACCTACTTCGTCCTTCGGAAGGCACGTTGAGCCGTTGGTCCCGGCTGCATTTGCAGTCGTTAATACCTTCCGAACCGCATTGGGTAAGTGTTGGTCATGGCCCCATTCCTCCTGTACATACATAAGGAAAGGACGTCAAAGGTCTTATGATATTTTTTTTTAATCTGTCAATAAATGTCGAGTTATTGAACACAACCTTAATTTAAAGTAAGATGTTGCACATCACTATGCCTCTCGCTATGCTTCTTGCGTCAATTCAACCGATTGTAGTTATTTAATTAAATAAATTAGTTTCAAGTAATTTTGCTTTTTACTCTTCAATATACATTATTAAAATAAGATCAACGAATTAGGCACTAAGAGCTAAAAATATATCAACACAATATTATTTTTCTATTCAAAGCTTCAACTTTGAAATCACACTTAAGACATGCCTACGCGACCGCTCACAGAGGCTTACGCGGCTCATTTATTTCATCAGTGTTATTCAGTAGCATTTGCCATTGCGATGTATAAAATCAGTGGTACAGTAGGCGTCCCTTAAATCTCTTAAAAAATAAATGCAAGCTGTTACGGGTGCTTGCTCCCGTTGAAGAAAATAAAAGTTTTTTTTACGGAGACGATTTATCTTAGCGCCCAAAGTGGATAGACGCTTCTGTATACCAATGTTACGCAGTTCATATATTATCTCTTTTATGACAGTGGACTGTATTTATTTTATATTTAGTCGAAGTAAGCGTAGACTAGAAACGATAGCTGTTTAGTCCGTCAGTCAGGTATTACCAAAATATTTAATACGTACGTTTTTTGCTTCAAGTTAACAAGAAAACAAGAAAATAGTGGCTTGTTGCATTACAATTATGTAGAAAATTTACAAAAGCATCGTGCGACATTACAACTCAATGTTTCGCCGTAATTTATTTATTACGCAACAAAATCAAAAAACGTATTATACTTCAATAATCTACTTGAGGAGCAGACAAATAAAAATTAGTCATCTTCCCTATTTTGTTGTGACGTACCTCGTTTATATTTATGTAAAGATGACAGTACAAGCTTACGAAACAAAACAGTATTAAGAGTTATCAGTTAAAGTAGAGCCTCCACGGCGCAGTATGTTATCTTTGATTGCTGAAGTTGAGTTACTTTCACCATCTGATCATTGCCCGAAAATTTATGTTCCAGAGACGTTAAAAGTTCTTTTGAACGAGAAACGAAATGTTTTAACTTCTTGTACTCGTAATAGTTTTTTAGACGGAAGTGAATAATCCTTTAATCTTGAAAGTAATGTATTCTAAAATTATAAAGATGAAATATTTGCATCTCAAGCGTACATGATTTCAAGACAATTCCTGTTTGTTTTGTTTTTGTTTGTCCATAAATTGTGTGTGTTGCAAAAGAAAAAACAAGTGATCTTTTATTGTCTGTATCGACAAATTTCTGCCGCGTACAATGTATGTATGTATAATCTAAACGAACCTTATGGACCTAATACACCAGATTGAGACTGAGCTGTCCTCGAGCCATTAATCAAGCCAGTCTAATGAAATAGAACAATTTCTTATTTTATAATACTGGACTGGCATACTGAATTGGCTCAGTTCCTTGCCTTGTGTAAATGGACCGTTTCTGTGGCGTGTCTATTATCTGTAGTGTTCGATGAAAGTAAAATAGTATGTACTCATAAAATATTAAATACCCTATTTCACTTAATTTATAAATATTTTATGAGAAACGCAAAATTAATGAATGCGGTATCACGATGATCACCGTTTCATTTTCAGTATCAATTTCAGCAGCATTGTGAAAAGGTAACATTTACTGAAAGTGGATTATGATTGATGCGATCTGAATTAAACAGTGAACAATTGAAAAAAGAGTAACACATTTTCAATTGTCATGAATTA